CCGCCTGGCAGAGCTGGCATGTTTGTAAGTGGGATTTTTGGCTGGAGCGTGAGGAGAGGCGCTGGGTCAGGGCAGGGTGTGGGAAGTTGGGGGAGAGCAACACAAGAGGTGGGAGGCGAGGCTGCAGACAGGAGTCAGGTCACGTGGGGCCCAGACGGTCCAGCGGGCCTTTCCTTTCCCTTCCTGGCCTGGAGAGCCAGAGAGGGCTGTGGGAGCAGAGGGCAAGCCAGCCCGGCGGTGTTGGTAGATACTCGGCCTGTGGGAGCAGGAGGAGGGAAGCGCCAGCCTACCTTGCTCTCCTTTGATACTCCGGGGCTTTGCCAAACGGACATCCAGGCTCTTCCCAACATCCGGGCCGGGGATGCACTTCTGGGCCAAGGCTGCCCCTTTGTTTTCGTTCCGGTCCATCTTAAGAGGCTCTTTCTTTCTAAGCTGGGATTTGCCGCTCTTCAGCGCCCACTCGTAAAGACGGAGTTTTGTCCCCAGAACACGACTGTTCCCTCTTTCAGCTGAGCTCTTCATACAGTCTTCTCTCTCATACCACATCCTTCCACCAGCCTGGACCTTCCTAGGAGCTCTGCACCTGCCCACTTGTAGCCTCCCTGTGGCTGCACAGATGCTCCAGGGAAATCTCCACACCTTAGCTGAGACAGCCTTGCTGATTGTATTAGTCAGCTCTTTACTGTAATGGAATACCCGAGATAGTTCATTGTGTTGAGATAAAAAGTTTACCTACCTCACAGTTTGGGGCATTGAAGGCCCAATGGCCCAGGACAGGTCTTGGTGATGACTCCTTGTGACTGGCCCTCCTCATTCAGAGTGAAACTGGGTTCTGCAATCCCTTTTGAGGACACACCTCCAACTTACATATTCATCTCTCACTAGAATCTTTTCAAAGTCCACACCCTCAACATTGACACTCTAAGGTGGACCGACCATTCAAGAATAAACCAGCTCCAAACTGGAACCCTAAGGCACAGTTCTGAGGCACCATTTCCTACTTAAGGATGAAGTGAGACCTCCGTGGGTCTTGAGGGGTATTGTTTGCATAGACGTGCTCTGTGCACTTCAGCCTTGCTGGTGAGCACGTGGTTCTCACCCTGTCACTACTGAGCCTGCACATCTGTCTGTTGGTACCTCATTCTTTTCTTCCTCACCTTCTCCTTCAATCTGGCTAATCGTGACTATCTGAGAACCAAACTATCTTCTGATCACTATTCTTGATCACCATCTACCCACCAAGTGATAGCAGGTGCCCTGTGTGGACCCCTGTGCCCCACCTACCTGCCAGGCTATAGCAGGTGCCCTATGGGGACCCCTGTGCCCCACCTACCTGCCAGGCTGTCGCATGTACCCTGTGTGGATCCCTGTCACCACCACCCACCTGCCAAGCAATAGCAGGCGTTCTGTGTGGACCCTGTGCCCCACCCCCACCCCCACTTCTTTTGACCATAGCAGTGAGCACATCGGAGCACCATCATCTTGGTCCCCAGTAGTGTCAGTACTCTAGGAGGACAGTGACAACAGTGTGCCCGCTGCAAGCCCTGGTCTGAGGTGTGGCACCCGAGTGCTCGCTAGGATGAGTGAGTAGGTGGCTGTGTCTGCTTACGTCTCCTTCCACTTCTCCCTCCGACTGAGTTCTCCCAACTCACTCTGTTTTTATGACATCATTTCTAGTCCTTCTAATTTCTTTGTGGTTTTTCTTTTTAGTTTCTGAGACAGCATCTCGCACTATAGACCAGATAGCCTAGAACTCACCATATAACCAACATTGACCTTGAAATCACAGCAGTCTTCCTATCTCAGTCTTCTAAGTGCTAGGATTATAGATATGAGCAACCATGTCCAACTCTACCTTAATAAAAACTGTATGGGCACTGTGCCTGCAGGCATGCATGTGTACCATACGTATACAATGCCTGTGGAGCCCAGAAGAGGGCCTCAGATGCCCTGGAACTGGAGCTACAGGTGGTTCTGGGCCTCTTTGTGGATGTTGGGAGTGGAACCTGGGTCCTAGGCATAAACAGCCAGTGCCCTTAACCCCTGAGCTTGCCCACATCTCTTGCCCTTAGCCCTGTACTTTCGTTCTTTAACACTTTGGATAGCTCAGGGTCCTTCCTCGGCTGTTACAGCCAGCTTACAATTAGTGTAATTACATTTTAAAAGGGGTTTTGGTAACTCAAGTTCTTATAAACAGAAATGAAATGTTGAATAATCAGAGTCCAGAACAAATTTACTGGATGGAACTTTTTGTTTTTTCATGCTAAGACTTGAACCTGAGACCTTGCCCATGCTAAACATATGCTCTACCCCTAAGTGCTGCTCCTCCTACCCTTTTAAAACTAGACTGACACATACAGATACGGGCATGCAAATGGAATCAGTGTTCCCTCTGTTACTTTTAAAGACTAAGTTGTCTTTTGGCATAGGTGAATGATCATTTGTTAGACTAAGCTTGTCAACCCACATGGTCTTCCTAGGTCATAGTTACTGAATTCAAGTCCCTTTCTTGAAAGTCTAGAAAGTCCCAAGGCCTTTCTAAACTGCGTGGCCTTCTCCTTCTGTAAAATTAGGATGATTAAGCTCTCCGTCCATCCACTGCTAGTGTAAGATTGATGGAGCTTTGTTAAGGAATCACATTTGTTGCTTGGATGAAGGGCATTTTGTAAATGCCATGAATGTGCTATTATTTAAGTTTATGACATAATGGACTGTCTGTGGAGAGAACACAGTGGAGCCTTTGTTTGATTATTTACGTCTTTAGAATAACCAGAATTGCCAAATTGAGAGTCATTTTGGGGAATACAAAGGTTTAGGCCAGGCAGTGGTGGCGCATGCCTTTAATCCTAGCACTCGGAGGCAGAGGCAGGAGGATCTCTGTGAGTTCGAGGCCAGCCTGGTCTACAGAGCGAGATCCAGGAAAGGCGCAAAGCTACACAGAGAAACCCTG